CCAATCATTTTTCACGTGGTGATTGATCTTAGGTCCCCTGCATGTGATGGTAAAGAGTTTACCCGTTACCCCCGATATAGCTGGTGGTTTGTAATATCAAAAGCACTATCTAAAGAAAGCTCAGATTTTATTTTAAAATATATAAACTGTAAACAATGGCAGAAATAGCATTACTTTGCCAAATGTGAATACGTGGATACTTTGAGTGTTCATTTATTTCTTTTTGTCAAACTGATGTACAAATCAAAAATGCAAAACTTAATTCTTAAGAGATTATTAATAATAATTATGAGCAGAGCACCCTCCCCCCACCTGCCAATCCTTTCTATTTTCTGAAAGGGATAACCAAATCCTTCTCTGCATAAAATACATGTTCTCAACCCCGCCCCTTTCCTTTCCACAAAAACAAAGAAAATCAGAAAAATTATAAATTATTTTCTGCACTCAAAAACAAAAAAATTCAATGTGTAGATCTAAATAATGATTCTCATCATGTCCAAGCGACATTTTTTTCTCCATAGGATTAAAGCTTGGTCTGTCATCCTGTGAAAGCATCTGAATGTGGCTGTACGTGTTGGTGTGTTCATTTTCATGCGTGTGTGTGTGTGTGTGTGTGTGTGTGTGTGTGTGTGTGTGTGTGTGTGTGTGTGTGTGTGTGTGTGTGTGTGTGTCTGAGAGAGATATACTAGATGAGATGATGAGTGAATCTGATCCCACATTTAAAAGAACATAAACTGCAATCAATATAATCATAAGAGAGGAAACATATCTCCATTCTATCAATATTTCAATCTACAGAGGGAACAAAACTTAAAGATAAAGCAATCCATTTTTTAGCAAACACCATCAGTGAAACAGATCCAGAGAAAAGGGCACTAAAACCTTATGGCATAACATAGTAGTGCCATATCACTAAACATCAGTCAAACAGATTGTCAGACTACATAATTGTGGCAATTGAACTTGTAAGGGTTTTACGCCCCCATCAACACTGTTTGGGTCATCTGAGAGGAGGGCTGCTTTCACCACGCCTATCAGGGCCACCACAGGCTGAGAGGGATACAGCATCTCGGCAGATTAACGGAGATACTGAATTTTTTTAAAATGTCCACCAACAAGAATCAAACCCACGCCTTCTGTGTACAACAGCAAAAGCCTAATCGTTTTAACTCTTGATGCTGCTCTTTCAGACAATACAAATTTCAGGAGAAAGAAAATGGACTCATGTAAATTTCCAGTCTTTAAAATATCATCAGAAAAAAATATATACTAATAATAGTGTAAATATGCCCTTTGTAGAAATAGGACACACAATATCAATGCACTATAACAAAGATCTCACACAACAAGATGATTCATGTCTCTATTTGAGACTGGCCTACCAAAAGCAGATGTCAACATAATGCTACTGTAGAATTACAAAGTTTTATCTGACATTTTTGGCTGTTTTTAGTTTCTCAGACCATGAGGTGAGAAACCAAATGCTATACCTGCTCTAATAAAAATCCTAAGATTATTCAAAAGTCGCTATCAAGATATTAAAGGGGTTACATTTTAAAAAAGCTTGCCTTGTTGTGAAATTCAAAATTTTGTAAGATAAATTTTTCAAAACTAGGTACTGGGCAGATAAAACTTTGTAACTCTATGGTAGAGATAATACAAAGAAGTAGATTCCATACTACTTTTAGGGAGTGAAAAATCTTGTGTACAAAGAGTGAGAGTAAAGATTGTTGAAAAAAAACCTTCTATTTTGAAAAGATGAAACAAAGCAATTACTATCAGTACTAATAGTGAACACATCTGAAGAAAATAAAAACGCACTTAGACTTATAAGGATCCCCCCCCCCCCCCCACCTTCTTCTTTTAAAGAGAGTGAACCATCAAGCTGTGCACTATCTTTGACTTGATCCACCAACTACATCTACATGAAAATTGGGAGCAACCATCAGGCTAGCTATGCTTGCGACTATACAACTAGGCAAGAGGATTTTTAATATTGAAAAAGCTGTAAACTATTGTAGTTTCAAGCCCCTCATAGACACGATTTAGATCACTTGGGAGGCGGTCTGCTTTAACCCTGCCTGTCGGGGCCAACCTAAGGTTAATTAATATATCGCCAAAGCCGATAGGATCAGAAAGTTGAAAAAAAATTAAACCCATCCCACACCGGAATCAAAATTACGTCTTCAGCGTGCATCACACAGTAGCCTGTCCCCTACACCACAAAATGCAAAAGCAAGTCAAACTACGGAGATAATGATATGAAAAAACAGCGGATTGTGAAAGCCTTGTCAAGGATATATAGCACCAACACGACGTCAGTCGTCTCATGGACAAACATGCAAAATAAACAAACACTTAATCATCATCAACTTCTTTATCAACAATAGCAACAAAAAAGTAAGCAGACAAAAATAAAGTAAAGCAAACACATCTACAGGGGTGTCCACTCAAACTGAAATCTGTGGGACTCCCGGATTCTCTTCAATTTGGCTGAGTTTTAGGTTTAGAAAGATTGCTCAAATAGTGAAGAAAAAAACCAGAGTTTCTATTTTATTTCGGTTTATAGCTATTTTCGGATGAATCATGTTTGGTTTAACACTAACAGTACCGAAGGCTCATATAGTGAAAAAACCTCAAAAACGGCACCAATTTAGAATGCTGAAGCCGAGGTAGATTTTTTTTTTTAATAAAAAAAAACTTGGCAGGCCAAGAAATATGCTCTAACAATTCATAGAGGCTCATCAACCATTCAGCTATCATATAGAGTGACTTCCTTTGGTATTTACTTCAGCGCAGTGCGTCCATTCGTTGTTTAATTATGTTTAGCGTGCTTGGTAGCGTCAGCGACGGCGACTAAAGTCACCACCGGAAGTGAGAGCATACTACGGCCTGGCGACTCAACGGTACTGTAAGTGTTAAACAGACACCACTGTACATTACTCTGTGCTTAACAAAATAAAATTACTTAACCATATTCCTCCTACAGTATTAACAACAACCAAAACTGTTAACAAAAATGGTAAAGCATTGTACCCATATCTCTTACTTCTTAAAACTAAAAATGACTTTTTCAAATATTGCTGAATCATCTTAGCATTCTTCTTCCAGTTACCAGTTTTTGTTTGTATGATTTGAAGAGAGCCATTGTTTTAAAAATATTCTCAGTTGAATTCTAAACATTGAAGAATAGATCTAGTACATAAAATTCAAAGAAAAACTACAAGCTGAACTGAATGTATTTCTCTAAAAGAACATTTTAGTTATATTTGAAGTATCATAAAAAAGCAGCAAGTGCTCTGTTATAATATAATCAGTTCTTATATGTAAACAGTAACGCACATTATAAGAAAAACCAGTGCACCCAACAGTAGAACACAAATGCACTAGAGTGTATTGCTTTGCATCACAAGGGAAAATACTGCATGGAGGGGTCAACATGACCTGTAAGACAGACAACACAACAGACAGTGTGACGAACAATGCGAAAAGCAGTGCTGGTCAAGGATTATCAAAGAAATCAACTACAAGAAATCAAGAGCAGTGGAGTATACTTAAAACAAAATCTACTGGATTTGTTTCAGCTTGACTGGGCTATCTGTTCAGTGAGGTTCTTAAGAAAGAATACGAGCTTGTTTGATCATTTGTAAGAAATAATGAGGGTCAAATGAAATGAAAAAAGAGAGCGGCAACAAACAGAATAAAATGTCAATGAGACATGAAAAATAGCCATACGTATTCCTTGGCCAAAAAAACACTATCAAAGCGATTTCTTCACAGCAAATAGAATTAAGTTTAGAAGCTTCTATTACAAACAAACACAGTAATACAAACACATACACACACACACACATATACACACACACATACACACACACACACGCAAACATACTATATTGTAGGCAGTAGCAGGGCCCTTTTTTCTAATCAACATTACGCTACATTAATTAATTCACATTTGGAAGAACTTTGAGTCAGATTACAACTTGAACCAACTTTTCAGTTAAACATTTTTTTGTAACAAACTCGTAAAAACCTAACTAGTTACATACACATTGTATATAGCATTAGCTTTCTCTGGTTTTATCAACTTTATGGTTTCAAACAACTTAAATAACAATAAACACAATGCCACTAAAAGAAACTCTTTATGGCACAATATGATGTAACTATTTTAAGCTGTTTATGGAACAAAATTTAGGCTTTATCTATGACAAGATTGTCAGTTTTTTTCCCCCCTAACAAGATAACAATTCACAAAAATAGACAACAACAAAATACTAGTAATGACTTTCATTTTCTGTAACAATTTCAAAGGACACATTTCCCAACTTTTGCTACAAATGTTAAAATTTCAGTTGTACAATTTCTAAACAAGGTTTATTTTTCTCTTTAAACAATTAAAAATTACTATCTTTAATATAGGGACTTTTTTAAAACTTGATCCAGAAAACGAAGGATTGTGGGATTGAGATCGAAACAGCTTTCTCTCCATCCCTTCTATCGGAAAAAACTCAGAAAGAGTATATTTTAATTTCTTACACATGTGAAATTATAGAAATGTAAATGCATTCTTTATCTTAACATAACGACAACAACAGAAAGATAAGCAATATTTTCTTCTCACTGTTCAAAGCGTGAAATTAGTTTGGGTAAAAAGAAGAACATCAACACAAGAGTGTTCTTTTTGTGCTAGGTCAAAGAAACAACTGAAAGACAGAAACCATAGAGGGAAAACAAGCAGGTCAGAATGAAATAAAAATAAAAATAACACAAAGCATGGGCCTATCATCAGTTCCACAAAAACTGTCTCCTGATAGAGCCCAGTATAACACATTGTAAAGCTTGGATTGGGTCAGCAAAATTTTTCAACTTAGCACTTTTTTTAACAGCATCTGACTACAACAAACAATCTTAAAACATTTTAAAGGGCACTTAATTCTTTGAATACTTTAAAAGTTTTCAAAACTTTCAAGGTCACCAAAATTGATTTAAAAAAAAAAAAGTCTTTTCAACCCATATTGAAGACAAACACTTATAAGCATCAGACTTTCACTAATGTGACAGAAACAAAATGAACATCTTTCATTTTCAAAAGGACAAAAATTTGGGTGAACACATGTCAAATGTTGTATAACAACCTAATCAAAGAAAACTTTACCTTCAAGGAAATCCTGAAGACAATAAAAAAAACAGCGCCTAGTTCCCAAATTTCCCATCCCAGCACAGCATCGACAACTACTGTCATATAAAATTACAGAACATCAAGTAGAAGTTCTATTTTTTAAAATATAAAATCTATTAAGAAAAATCCTTAAATTAAGTTGCAACTTACAACATGACAAAAGATATGTGTACACATTATCTATATTTTCGTATTACTAAAAACACTTTAAACCCTGATCTGGATCCTACTTATAAAATATCGCGTGGACTTTTCCAATTCTCAAGGATAGAGGATATTATATGAAATGTGACTCAACTCATATGACTGAGGGAAAATAAATATTCTCCTCAGGATCTTTATATATATATACATCTCTATAGATACAATGTGCCTTATTAAATCAATATGTCTGAAAGAGTGAGAATACATTTTCTACTTAGGAGCCACATGGGCACAATGTACCTTATACCGGGTGCCCATTGCAAATGGGAATGGGTCGGGTCTGGTTGGGTCCATCACCCAACTCGTCGCCTGAAAACAAACGTGTTTGTTTTAGAGGCGACGAGTTGAGCCATCAATTTGTGCCACGATAGCCGCTTTGTGCCCTCAATCTGGATAGCAAACCGAACCGACCCGGCCCAACCTGATGGGGCCAATGGGCACCCCATATTACCAATCTATATATTTGACGGGGTGCAAATACATAAAAAGGGGCCTATGTATTCTAAGTAGTAGTCTTATGGCAAAAAATGTACCCTTCTAAACCAAATTGTTTGGCTGATTGGAAAATTTTTCCTTCTTAGAAAATAACATTTATACAACAAACTCTACAAAATCTAATATGTCTGACGAGTGAAATCATCAATTCCACGTCGTAGTATCATGGGCACAGTAAATTTAGCTAAAAGTGATTAAAAAATTCAAAGTTTCTATATTTCATCCTATTCAGTTCTTATCATTGCTCCATATTCTCCCATACACTTTTAAAGCTAGCCACCACATTTCAAAAACCAACAACAGTTCTTACAACTATAAGCACCATTTCTTTAACAAGTCGTTATCTATGTGAAAGACTACTCACACATATATTTATATATTTAACTCATGTAGGTGGAAAACACAAACATGCGATCATTTTTTTTTTACACCTCGCTGTTCTCTAGTTATAAATGCAGATAATATTATTATAGCAAGCACCTGAAGCGCATCAGCAGTGAACACACAAGTAGGTATCATACTTCCTCCAACTCTACAGAAAATATTTTGTATTTCATTCTACGCAGCGATCTCATGCAAGCAGAAGACTACTCAATAAGTCTCTAAATATACAAAAAAGGGAGAAAACATTTTCTTCTCAGGTGTAAAAAAAACTAATGGAAATATTTGTAAAAGAATACTTCAAATCAAACAGGAAACACCTATTACTACAAATCTTTACATTCTACAAGAAATATTTTATGTTGTATAACACTACTTTTAAACACTACAGGAAATATTTTGTAGTACAGTACTTTTAAACTCCGCAGGAATCTTTTGTTATATTTGTATAATCCTCTATATCAAAGTCACAGAAGAAGCATACTTTTCTTAATAAGTCTCAAAATGTATGAGAGAGGAAAAACATGCATTCTAACAGGCAAAAAACTAGAGGGACAAGTTGCATTAAAATACATTACAAAAACATTACAAATTTCCGCACGGTCTTCAAATTTTACAGGAAGTATTTCATACAACCACTCTTCAAATTCTAGGGGAAATATTTTGTATTACAGTCTTTCTTTGAGCTTTAATGGATACATTCTGTACTACAGGAATAATATTTCATTATGTCTGTAAATACTGCACCTATTCACCCTACAGTATTGCCACAATCAAAATTCTCAATGCTCCTTTGTTCAAGAGTTTGCAGTTGACACCTTGATATTTTCTCAAAGAAGAAATTTCAACAGAGTTTCCATTCCCTTTATACCAATGACTTTAAGCTGACTTTAAGCTGACTTTAAGCTAGAGGTTTCATTCCTAAGAAAAAAAGAAAAAGAAGAAACTGGATGGGGGCTGACAACACACAAGAAAACAAAGCAAACAAGAGATATCACACACTCAATGTCACCACCCAAATGACATTGCCAATTTTCCCAACTACAAAATGTATATTATACATATATACAATGTCAACGGTTTGTGTGAAAACAAAACATTGTCAAAAAAAAGTGCATAGATATAATCATTCAGATTGAACGTAGCAACATATAGATTCTTGCCAGTGGAGAACTATCAGTGACAGAAAAGGAGGCATCTACAGGGTGATCAAAATAAAAACTGTACACTTTTTTTTTTCTAAATATCTTGCACAAAATTTGTACTAGAATGTTGTAATTTGGAACAGATATAATTCATTCAAAAGGAATTTGTTTAACACAAAATTCACAAAGAAGAAACCTATTTTCTAAAACGGAAATGGCTTTTATAAAAACCATCTATGAATGCAAAAAAATGCACAATTTAAAAAATCTTGTTAGGAAAGTCATGTAAAGATTGATAATATGATTTTTCCTTTCCTTTCATTTTTAAAATCTAATCTTTCCATCCCTGTAACCTTAAAACAATTTTTTTTTTTTCTGCTACAAAGTAAAAAAAATATTTTTAAAATTCTGGAATTCCGAGAACCAATGGTCTATATGTCCTCCTTTGGACTCGACACATCGTTCGTAATGTTCAGTGGTGGCCAAAGACAAGGATCCACTAAATCATGACTACTCAAAGCCAAACACAATGTGCACCTTACAGTATGGAGCTGTTTCTAGAGACAGAAGGGGGGTGGTGGGGGGGGGGGGGTGATGTTGCCCAAATAGACAGCATTTGTGGAGTTGATATGACCTGAAAGTTGAATATGGGCTTTGCCAAGGAACCAAATGTCATAGAGGAAATGTTCACACTTTTCAAGATGATAGAGGAATCATGAACACATTGCTATCCTCTGATAGCTTCGGGAAAGGGGAAATAGTACAGTAGTAGATGAAGATCTCCCTTGAGAATGCGGACCGCTGAAAGTTAGGAAAGTCCTTGCTGCAGACATCGTCTACGGACAGATGTCTCATGGGGCTCATCTACTGAATTCTGCACCCTGGTGACATTTAAAGGGGTGCGAACGGTGTGTGTTTGACCTGAAGTGGTTGTTTTGTCTGGGAATTTTTAGTTCTGATTCTCTACAAGTCCTGAGGGACCATTTCCACCCTTGACATTAAAGAAGGCCTTAAGGACATTTTAACATTATTTCCGTATGTTGTGCTAAACTTACGAAATGAGTTGGTGATGAGGAAATGTTCAATACAAAAACTCTCTGCTCTTGAAAAAGCAATAAAGATTTATCTAAAATGAATATCAGACAAATTCCTTTTGACTTCCAAATATTGCGTACAAATTTGAAATGCAAAACTTCAGTGTGGAGGAAAATATTAACAAAAAAAGTTGTACTGTTTTTTGGGAATCACCCTGTATTTCACAGAAAAAGCTCGGCAGCTTGCACGTGAAGCCTATCCCAAGCAAAGAAATTTACGTTTCACTGCAGAGGTGGAGAAAAAAAAGAAACTATCGATGTTACCGACTTTTTTCAAACATAGGTTGTTGACATGGTTAAGTAGAAATATAATACGGAAGATAAGTAAAGTCACAACATCTTGCTGTCTGATCTCTAATTATCAAATACCCTTAACATCTAATTATAGATTATTACCTATGTTAAAAGTCAGTGAAACCAAAAAAATATAAAAGTAACAATAAATTCTGTACAAAATACGTCACCACTTAAATCTTAAAACACATTTTATCTCAAAATGAAGAGCTTGTAAACACCAGTTTGTTTGTTTGTCCGAGATAAAAGATGCACATAAACACAAAAGTGATTTAATGCAGGGAAAGAGTGAGACAGACAGAGAGACAACAGAGGGCAAGAACAGAAGTAGGACCTACCGGTGGTGCCCTCACACCATCTGCATCATCTTTCCTTAATCCTTAGAACTCATCGAGAGAATGAAAATTACATACAATATCTCATCTGAGAAAATAAAATGCTAAACAGAAGCAATGGAGAAAATGGAAGGGAAAAAAAAAGGCTAACCAAAGGCATTTGTATATATATGTGTGGTGTGCACATCTTTGTGTGTGTGTGTGTGTGTGTGTGTGTATGTGTGTGTGTGTTGTGTGTGTGTGTGTGTGTGTGTGTGTGTGTGTGTGTGTGTGTGTGTGTTGTGTGTGTGTGTGTGTGTGTGTGTGTGTGTTGTGTGTTGTGTGTGTGTGTGTGTGTGTGTGTGTGTGTGTGTGTGTGTGTGTGTGTGTGTGTGTGTGTGTGTGTGTGTGTGTGTGTGTGTGTGTGTGTGTGTGTGTGTGTGTGTGTGCGTGTGTGTATGTGTGTGTGTGTGTGTGTGTGTGTGTGTGTGTGTGTGCGTGTGTGTATGTGTGTGTGTGTGTGTGTGTGTGTGTGTGTGTGTGTGTGTGTGTGTGTGTGTGTGTGTGCGTGTGCGTGCGTGCATGTATGTATGCCAGCATTTATGAGCACAAAATGTTTGAAAGTATGTATATTTGAGAAACTAAACACAAGACTAGGATGAGGGAGGAAGATCCAAAAGAAGATACTTCAAGTAAACAAGAGACAACACACAAGAGCAATATGTCAAATAAAAAAATCTTGTATCAAAGACATTCCATGGCGTCATGAATGACATTAATAAAAAAAACCGTTAACATCTCACACTAAACACGTATAAAGACGTGTCAACGAAATTTAAAAGGCAATTTTGACATAGAAACCACCCCCGTATTTGTGCAGGAGCAATGAGACATTCAACGTCCGTAAACATATCAGTCGTCGGGCATGGATGGCCCATCTCACAGGAATACAGGAGAGACTAAACACGGTGTAGCTAAAATAACAAAGACAATTTCAACTCAGATTTTATGTTCGTGTGAGAATTTTCAATTAATGAATTGAGATGACACTGGAGTACAACCTACTCAAAAACCAGGTTGGAGAAAACTTTTTTTTTCATCAATTTGTGCCCCCCCCCCCCCCTCCAAGACCATCAGCCATGCCTTACGGGGTACTTGATGATACCACTGAAGCTATAGCTGCACACAATGCTGTGGTGCTATGCTGAAACCAGTCAACTTCTAGCTCTGAAACCGTTGCAGATGTTGCTCTGCTGGTCCTCAAGAAAAAAATATTTCCACAAGATAAGGATTGACATCCATTACAACTTCTTTAGCTATGAATTGAATTTAACTTTGACATTAATATCGAGGAGAAAAATTCGCGGGGGGGGGGGGGGGGGGGGGGTTTGGTTTGTTTGAATTTCCTCAAGAAACCATTAATACAATTAGAACACAATTATACCACTGAATTGTTCTTGATTCATCACAGCCATCATTCCAAAATTTTCTTTCATATCACGTGACAAAATACATTGAACTACCACAACAATGCCTTTTTAAAATGTAAAAAAAAGGGGAAAAAAGCATTTATATCACAAAACTGCAGATACTCAGAAACACCCTTTTATATTCTTCCAATACAAAATTCCTCATATAATGATGGCCCTACAACAGTCTACCACAATATATGAGCCATACTTAGTATGTGGATTAGTGTTAATATGAAAGCTTCACAATTCAATTCGAAGATCACAAAGTACTAATTAAAAATGAATTCAGTCTACAAGCCATCTTCCCTAACTGACTTCATTTTCTTCTTCTTCAAAAAGCACCAGATCTGAAACAGACATTGATTGGAGATCATGGTTCGCTACTCATTTCTCTGCTAAATGCTCTAAAAAAATACAACTTTATAATCCCGATCTTTTCACACATCTCTCATTTTTTCACCATATCAAACATTTTCACAGCAATATTTTCACATCTGTTAAACAATGGGTTACAATACCCACTATCTGATTAAAATTAGAATCACATTGTGTTACAGCAACAGCAGTTATTTTTCTCCTGCCCAGACCTCTGTTCTATTTTTAAAACCAGTTCACAAAGGGACCTTGCAGACAACTGAACCTCACATTCAATAACATAGCAGTCCTCACCAAAGTCTTGTAAAATCTGCACACATCGCACCTTGTCCCCCCCCCCCTCCCCTCCTGTCTCCATAACTGAAGTGACCACGTTCATCGTCCAGTAGATCGACCCCTAGACCGTGGTGTGCTTGCGGAAGTCTAGAGAGCAGGAGTTGACACAGTAGCGTATGCCCGTGGGTTTGGGTCCGTCGTCAAACACATGACCCAGGTGGGCCTGGCACTCGCGACATTTCACCTCCATCCTCTGAAGACCTGGGGAGATCAAATGGGTTAAAAATAAACAGGGGCATTGTTTGTTTGTTTGTTTGTTTTAGTAGAGGTTTTACGGCGCTCGCAACTGCATGAGGTCATATGAGCGCCAGAAGATTAGAGGTGTCACAAGAGAGTAACAAACATAAAAAAAGAAAAAGGGGAGATAAGGACGATAGATGTTTGATAGGAAAGAAGGAGCAAACCACACCAGAGCACCCGCCAACCACCCACAGGGGCATTGTAGAGCACAACTTCTAACCACACAAGACTAAGTACAAATGCATACCATTAGGTAAAACTTTAAAATTAATGTTAGCATGATCAAGATACTTGAATCTCCTTTTGCTGATCTCACAAAGTGTACAACATTGTGTATCAAGTTCTTTCAGGATAATTTCATTTGTGAGGCATCTGGGTTAAATCAGACACACGTCAAAATAATGAAATCAAAGAAATCAATACTTTTCCGTCCAACTGGTAATTTTTTTTTTAAAGAACTCAATACAGTTTACGCTCACTTAAAAACACATTCCTGCATGAATTTTACTGGAAAACATTGATCAAAGGCACAAAATACGGAAATTTGT